TCTCACATATTGTGTAAAGTTTCGTAACCCTCTGTTTTCCCACTGCGCCACGGGCGGGTGAAGAAATCCAATTTTACATGTCGTGACTCCAGTTGGTCCATGATGCACGCGTTTTTTCTCTCGCACGCTATGATCGAATTCCGTTTATACTGCGACACACCATAAGGTGTCTCGATGTTTTCTTATTTTTGATGGTATATCTTGAATTAAGATGGTTAAAAAGCAAGAAAAGACACTACCCCTCGGGAGTTCAACCAAAACCTCTGGGATGGGTTTTCTCCAATACAAAATGGCTGTTAGAAGCTTTGTGGCTATACAATTGGCTCTTCACCTGGGTTTGCATCCCCTCATGGGCACATTGTGGGAAGCCCGCTAGTTGTTCCCCGCTGTTACATGTGTACACTGTTGCTATGTAAATGTATACAGTAGACCAATATCAGTGAAGTGGTGACTTTGTTGCTATTTTTAAACAGCTTTAAAAATGAGGGGATAAATATGTCCGTTTATAACTCCCCGGAAGTCAAATGAGTCCTAATCCGCGCATGAATTTTGGGCAAACCCTACCATTATCTGACATTGAAGTAATATTTTGAGTAGGCTATGGCACGTGTTGCACATTAGCGAGAAACATTGTTGTTTGTGCAATGCAATCTGAACACTCATTGGTCTTAGTACTCCTTGTTGCCATATCGACGTCGACGTCGCTTGATTCGTTGGTTAAAAACACCGACTGCTCGGAATATCGGCCCAATGTATTCACAGCTGATGGATCAGACCAGAGTTGGTATCCGGCAAGAAGTGGGATAAACGGTCCACAATTTCGTAAAACCCCATTTACTGCGATAATGCTCCCGGTTAACAGTAAAACGTACGGCGATTTATATACGGAATGAGATTTAGTTTTTATTTCTGTGTCGAAATATACTGAATATCATCCTTATATATGTCCACGTTCCATTCAGAATAAAAGAAACCCCGTTATATTCTTCACTATAAATGCAAACAGCTTGAGAGTGAGTGAGTGAGTTTTGTTTAACGCCGCTTTTAACAGTATTCCAGTTATATCGCGGCGTGTCAGCTAAATGTGGGAGGAAAGCCCGAAGTGATGCAGGTCTCAGACGTTTACCACTTCGGTGAAACCCACGAGCACGGGTATGGTGCTGACAAACCTAGAAACATAATCAGGGCGAACCGGGATTCGAACCCACAATCATAGGTTTCTGGCGTATGCAAGGGACGCAACTCTGCACAGCGAATCGCGGCGCCTTAGACGACTGGGCCACCCGTGCCTCCAAACAGCTTGAGAGTTTGTAACACACTTTGTACACTAATTTGAGAGATTTCTGAAGACTTTCTGATTGTTGCCGTGAATAAATGAACCAAGAATCGCAATTTACAATCCATTCACTGTCACCATTCACCCATTTATACTCACTAACAATAATTTAATTAAAATAACTGTGCTGAAGCGAATTCCTATTATTCACAGAGGAGTGATTAATCTAATTCATAAAATCCTTTAACAAATAGGTTTCAGTTGTCGCACCTTTAATTCCGCTGCATTAATTTTAGCGTGTTCTATCTGCTTCCAAGTCTTTGTTGATGTTTAAAGTAGAATAGTATTTTATTGTATTTAAAGCAATTTATAAAATGCCTAAATATTTCATTCAGTTCACAAATGGACTGAAAAATAATATCAAGAAGTTCCAGGTTTAAGGCAAAAGAACATAAAGTGTACAATGAAGTTTGTTAATTTTCTTTTCCTCCTATCATTTTCAGCAGCTGGGTGATGAAATTTAACATCAACATGTTTGGATTTAGTTGTCATAACAGAATAAATAGATAGATGTTTCAGTCAATTTGTAATATAATTAAAATATTTAGGCATTTTGTAAATTTATCTCATTTTACACAAAGACTGTAATATAGTGTTCGGTTTGAAATTCTTTTCATACAAATCCATAGCTGTAGAATGTGGACGTTATGAACTGAGAACAAAAGACGGGGAAGGGTGTTATCTGATATATCATTTTCGTCATTTTGAAGGAATGACGGGCGGGGTCGTTTCGAATATGTTAATATATACATCATTCAGAACGATCCACGGAGTTTGTACACAGCATGTTTTAAACATCACCCAGAACGAAAAATGTGGCACTGTGCATATTGCATGTATTACATACTTCAATCAGAACGATACACGGGGGAGTCTGTACATTGTAGGATATAAAATATACGTCACTCGGAAGGAAAGGCGATAGAGAGCGTATATCAGATATGGTATATATACTTCAGCCAGAACGATAGAAGAGGAAGTGTGTACATCGGATAATAAATATACGCCACTCAGAAGAAAAGGCGGCAGAGAGCGTATATCAGATATGGTATATATACTTCAGCCAGAACGATAGACGAGGAAGTGTGTAAATCGGATAATAAATATTCCCCACTCAGAAGGAAAGGCAGGGTGTATAGTGGATATGTTACATACATCGTTCAAAACGATGATCGGGGAGCGTGTGTATCGGATGTATTATACACATCATTGAAAATGGAAGGATGGGGGAAGCTTAATTATGTCGGAAATGTTCTATGCATAACAAAGAATGAAAAACAGGGAAGGATTTGTTTCAAATATGTTACATACATCATTCAGAACGATAACCGGGATCACGCGTATGTACGTAAACGAAATTGATGAGCGACTTTCTGCTTTGCTCTTTCACTATAAGAGCATGATTCTGTTCGCAAGCTATCGGATGTAGAGTAGTGTTGAAATTAATACGCGACAAAACGACTGCGATGTCAGCTGTTTTGATCAGATGAAGACTGTAATGTGATTTGAAACCTTGGACTGACAAATGTGAACAGAGTATCTAAAGTCGCACGATGATTTCTGTTTAGGATCAACAACTCCCGAGACACAATCCCCGGCCTCAACACCTGCAGGTGTATCAACACTACCCACACCTGTATCCAGCAACTCAGGGACTGGCGGACAAGAGTATACTGAAGGTATAAGTATATACATATCTTCTTGGAGTGTGTGTCTTTGGTTTAAAATCACTTTAAATAGTATTTCAGTTATATTACGGCGTGTCAGCTTGGAGTCGGGGGAAAGCCCGATGTGATACAAATATATACAATACAAACTGTATAAGGAATAAGAAATATGTATGATGTTTGCCAGAACAATTTGATTCCTAAACTATGGCATTCAAAGGCTCATTTTTCTTTGGTTAATAACCACCGCATATCTATTATTTGAGTTTGGGTAAATCGTATCAAGTTTGGTTGATCACAGTTCATGGATTATCGTATTGCTGTTTATGGTCATATTGTCTGATGTGTCTGATCTAGTGTGCTCTGGGGAGCGACCCCATCAGTGGTGTAGTGGATAGAGCGTCTGCCCGGAGAGCAAAAGTTCGGTGGTTCGATCACCTGGTCGCGTTATACCTTTCTCGCTTTCTCCCTCTTTCGTTTTCTCACGGTGAAGCAATATCCCCTGTTGACCACTATAGGGGCTGCATATGTTATCTGTTTCAGTTGGGAGGGAATGTTGACATTTTCTCACTATATACCTTAACATAATTTAACTGTACATAGGTGATTTTAAAACAGTCCAGGGATTTCCGCGAAAAATGTAATTGATTGATTTATGGCCCTATTTTGTTTTATGCCGAAAGCGCGTGGCGGGTCATGGCATGCAATATCCCCTTAATAAATTAGTTTAAAATCTAAATATATACTTTTCAAGACTATGATTAGTCATTCATAGGTGGTTGTATTGCAAAGTACAATCTTATAATTGTGGGTGTCCTTCAACTTAGTTTGAGGAGAATATTATGTTACAGTGTGTTATACTGTTATCTGTTATAATTTAATATTTCTTTTGACATTTGATTTATGATCAACTTGTATTGTGTCTCTTGTCTTGTGCAAATTTACAAGTATATGTATTTGCATATAGTAATTTGATAAACACCGCTGTGTTTGAGTGAGTATCGTTTTTAAGAATATTCCATTAATTTCAGGGCGGGGAACACCTGAAAGGGGCTTGGCTTATAATACTTACATTTATTTGTCATACATGATGTGACCACGTATTTATACTGACAGTCATATAACGACCAACTGTATGGCTGTAAAACACATTGTCAATCCGGACGAGTGACAACTACCTCAGCGTGGGAATGTTCAGAATGCCCAACAGTTACACTGTCACTGTGACTTAATGAGGAAGTGATGAACAAAACGATGTGATTTACAAGGAACGCGCGAGAAGGCTGTTATTCATGATGCTGTTGTAGTTGTTTGTCAGATCGTATATTTACAGGCCGACTTGATTTTTCTAAGTGTGTAAAATAACGTGTAATTTGCTTGTGCTCACGTTATATCTATTTTCATCGATGTTGTAATTTGGAACTAGATCGATGAGTGTCTTTTAATATATTAAAGAAATCATGATAGAGTGACTATTGTTCTTTGGCGATAGATTTAATGACTTTGGATAACAGTCACATTGACACATATTTGGTTTGTAACATCAATGTCATGTATGTCAACCCCAGGCACACAATGCTTAGTCGAGTGATACGTTGAAATGTGATCAATTGTCAGAAGCTAGCTTGTACCGTTGTTATCCATTCTAAAACTGTACTTACAAACTGTGTATTCTTTTTCCAGGTGTGAGCTACCTACTGGCTAGTTATTCAGTGTTAGTGGCAGCTGGGGAAACAGGGGGATCCTTTCTGGTTGATTATCCACAGCTGGGATATAACGACACAAGGACTGTAAAGCCGTACAATACGTCTGTTGTTAGAATAGATCCGTTATTGATGGTGACATTGGGTGTGGAAAACAAGGCTTTTGTAATCCACGTCTATGGTAAGAACACGAATGTTTACGGATACAATGGATATAGCATCTTTTCACCCCTCCCGATCTCTGCCCTAGGTTCCAGGTATGTAGTATCCACCTGTCTGGGATACCTGACACAGGTGGTGTTAGTGATAGCTAACCACAACCACAAGACAGACGTGGACATCACGCTGATGCTGGAGGGGAACGTCACCTATGACAACATGACCTACAACGACGGAGACACGATTCACGTTACTCTAGATGAGTATCAGACCTTCACGATGAAGAATGACTATGACCTGACTGGAACTGTAATCAACGCAACACATACTGTAGCTGTGTTCAGTAGGGCAATGCAAAGTGATTTATTCACGACCGTGACGCAACTATTACCTGTACGACATCATGGGACGGAGTACGTTATGTATACAGGTGACAACTCTGGTTATAGGAACTCGACATACCAGCTACAAGTTATTAGTGACCAGAGCAACACTGAAATTATGTTGAACAATGGATCTACATTCTCTCTTGGTGACAACCGTGTATACCGCCAATACCTCGCCTCTAAGGAGAGTCTATATCTTAATGCCACAAAACCTGTCATGGCAACCCTGTGTAGAAACAGCCCTGGGGCATATTTATATGGGTTTGCTGTTGTAGTTCCAGTTACTTTTTTCGTGAAAAGTGCATTGATTCCTTATACAAACAGTATAAACATACTGACTAAACAACACGTAACAGATATTGAAGTGTTTATTCATGATATGGTCCCTGTTACACTGGACTGGGTGGACATCCCCGGCAGTGAATACAAAGCGGGAAGAAACTGTTCATACGGCACATACATCGTCCGCTCTGCCAGTAGATTCGCTGCATATGGGTTTAACATTGACAATGGAGGCTACCGTTTCCCTACTGATCCACCAACTACAGGTGCTGATGCAGGTAAGTTGAACGACACCCTGAATTTGAAAAAGAGTTTTATTTCTGTATACACATACCCTGTTTACAGTGTAGAGCTGTGTTATTTGTACATTGATCCCTGCATTGAATTTGGAACTGAAAACACCTATGAACAGTATGACGCAACACCATGTTAGTATACTCAAGCCATAAGTGGAACCGCAGCTGGTGTTGAGAAACGACACTGTATTAATGTCTGTCCTGGTGTCGCAAAATAACATCCACTTACCCACCATGACCCAGCAACCCCACTATCTAAGATCTAGTTTCTGTTAAGGTTCAGCAACTCCGACGACACAAACCACGGCCTCAACTGCCGCAGGTGTAACGACACTACCCACACCTGTATCTACCAACACCCGGACTGGCGGACAAGAATACGCTGAGGGTATAAGTATAGACATAGCTTCATTGAGTATGCGAGATTTGTTTAAAACCGCTTTGAGCAGTATTTCAGTTATATCATGGCATGTCAACTTGATGTTGGAGGAAAGCCCGATTTGATGCAATTAAAACAATATAAGGAATAACAAACATGTATTTCAAAGTTGAACTCCTAAAATATAATATTAAAAGACTCATAATATATAAAATGTTTAATAATATCTGAATATATCTGTTATTTGTGTTTTGGTAAATTGTATACATTGTCTTTGATCACAGTTTATGGATTATCGTTTTGCTGTTTATTGTTTTGGTTACGTTGTCAACTTTCTTGAGCTCGGCATTATGGGGATAAAACAGAGAATGGTCGGCTCGGAGTCAGTACATTCCATATAAAATAAAATGAAATTAAAATCACTTGACATACTTGTTTTTGTTTCCATTATGACGTATTCGTTTTGAAATTCTATACCGGAATCGAGTATCTCAGGTGGTGTGCATTTACTGACTCATAGCAATAGATTTTTTAATATCCTCCTAAACCGTTGCATCATATCATATGACCTAGAACTCGTGACCACCTTGAGAAACATACACAATTCTGGAGCTACATATCCTAAAGATATCGGTGGTATCTTATACATATATCAGACATCAACGTCATATGTACAGAGATACATATGCATGGAAGGTCGGGGTATAGGAACATAAAGAAGGGTGGTGCTCAACTTGTCTTTCCAAATGCATGGCGACTCTCTGATATGCTGACACCGCTCATAACACTGTGATATATCCATATACACAGCAGCACACATGCACATACTTATGTTTTCACATTCACTGTTTCACACACTTCCATTCGGTAGATTTGGCAACATATCTATACTTACAGTCATATAACGATCAACTGTATCGCTGTAAAACACTTAGTCAATTCAAACGAGTGACAACTACATTCAGCGTGGGAATGTTCAGAATGCCCTACAGGTGCACCGTCACTGACTTACTGAGGAAGTGATGAACAAAACGCTGTGATTGACAAGGAACGCGCGAGTAGGCTGTTATTCATGATGCTGTTAGCAGTGGTTTGTCAGATCGTATATTTACAGGCTGCCTCGTTTTTGGTAAGTGTGTAAAATAACGTTTAATATGCTTGTGCTCACGTCATATCTATTTTCATCGAGGTTGTTATTTAGATCTAGATAGATGAGTGTCTTTGTAATATAAAAAGCAATCATGATAGAGTGACTATTGTCCTTAGGCGAATGATTTAATTACTTTGGATAGCAGTCACATTAACACGAATTTGGTTTGTAACATCACAGTCATGTGTATCAACACAATGCTCAGTGGAGTGAAAATTATCAATTGTCAAAAGCTTGATTGTACCGTAGTTATCCATTCTGAAACGCAACTAACAAACGGTGTATACTTTTCCGAGGTGTGAGCTACCTCCTGGTAACTGGTCAGATAGTAATGCAGTTGCAGTGGCAGCTGGGGAAACATTGAGTAGTGTTGAAAATAATACTCGACTATACGACATCGATTTCAGCTGTTTTCATGTGAAGAGGAATTTTGAAAAGAATGTATAACCTCGGACTAGCAACTCTGAAAAGGGTATCTAAGATCTAGTTTCTGTTTAGGTTCAGCAACACCGACGACACAAACCCTGGTCTCAACAACCGCAGGTGCAACGACACTACCCACACCTGCATCTACCAACACCCGGACTGGCGGACAAGAATACGCTGAGGGTATAAATATACACAAAGCTTCTTTAAATTGCGAGATTTGTTTAAAGCCGCTGTGAGCAGTATTTCAGTTATATCATGGCATGTCAGCGTGACAGTCATTGTGAGTGTGTTTGACACATAGAATGTCTTCATTTTGAATGTTTACATTTCAATAACATTGAGAGGGCATCATGAGTGATTGTTTGTGATGTAATGAGCGAATGTTTGCATTCAATTATCAATTGTCAACTTCCGTTTGATGTATTCACTAACTCCAACGCTTGTCGCCCTTAATCTCTCTGCTTTATTTATCATTTGTACTCTCACTTGTCTTACCATTCATAAATGTTGACAATGCACGTTTAAGAAATATTTCCATCGTATATCATGTTTGCCTTACAAAACCGTGTTTTCTGTTCCTATAGAATATTTACATGTGAATAGTTAAATCAAGTAAAAGACTTTTGTTGTTGAACTGTTACCAATAATCAGTCAAATTGATAATATTGACTTTTAAATATTAATACTATTCAACTTTATTTTCTTCTCGCCACAACCATCTTGTCCTTTAGAATGTACAGGTGTTGCTGCAAAGGTAATATGATTCCATACACTTATAGTACACCCTTTATAAGCATAGTTTGTTGGTATTATTCCGACCGTTTACATTATTAAAATAATCTGACTCGTATATTCAATACTGTGTCTACAATCAGATATCAAATAATGTGAACATTGTTGTACAGTGGAACCCTTAAATACCAGGCGATGAAATATTCGTGTTAACAAAACCTTTGGTTGGGAGTTATGTCGGGTCGACACGTCCACTTGTCTGCTGGCCCGAGACTGGTGATAGATTGTAAGGACTGGAATGAATGGGTTGTAAAATAACTCGTGTCAAGAAGACGGGATTTACAGATTGACGGGGTCCGGACTGATGGGTGTCCGGTTTGATATGGGTCAGGTCTCTCGGGTACATGTCTGAAGTGACATGGCAGTAAGTTGTTTTTAAGACATTATGGGCTATGTTCACGTGCCCTGTAGAACGATAAGGATTCACAGATTTTATACATTAAATTCAGTTATCTGTTGATCAAAGTCCCCTTCTTTCGGAGTAATTGCTATATGTTTAACATTGTGTTGATATTTTAGTTTCTCCAAGACATATGAGCTTGAAAATCGAAATTTGTGAAATGGCTTAACCTCTGGACACTGATGTACACTTGCTGTGGACTTGACGATGTGAAACCGTGTCTCAAGGAATGTGATTCCCTTCCATGCTCATTGTTTGTAGTTTTGATCCAAGCGTACAATATTGATGCATTTCTATGTTATGTTTGTTTAATTGCTTGCTTTTTTGTTGTTTAACGCCGCACGCGACCAGACAATCCAGTGATTGCCACCATGAACATCTGTCTACGCAATTTGAATACGAGGGTATTCATCAACCCACTCAGCGAGCCTTACTACCGTTGCCTTTTACGACCAGCATTGCTCGCTGAAGACCATTCTATCCCGGGTCTACACTTGGGGTATGTTTGTTTCTAGAGCCTACAGATGTATTAACGGCTGTCGTCAAAAAGAATGAATTTACTACGGTTATAACAAAGTTAGCCATTACGTACATTCGGGTTAGAGGGACACAGGTGGTAGAATCGTTTATGCCTTTGGAATTCGCTATGCAGATGTGTTCCACTGTGTGCCAGAAACCTTTAACCATGGGTTTCGAACCCCCGTTCGTTCTGATTATGTTCCTAAATTTGTCAGCACCAAACCCGTGTTGATGGCAAAATTCACGTCTATCGTAGAACGATTCAAAATTGAGATTTTACATTCAATTATCGGTTGATCAATATTCCATTTTCTAGATGTCATAAATGTTGCATATTTGACAGGTTGTTTATATTTTAGATTCTCCAAGACACAAGAGCTTGAAGATCGAAAGTTGTGAAATGGCCTAAACCTCTGGACAATGATGTACACTTGCTTTGGACACGGATTGTGACCGTTTCCCCCATTCATGTTGATTATGTGTTGTTTCATTCTAACTGTATAACAATGAAGCATGTCTTTGTGTACGGCTGTTTCTGTTTGTTTGTTGTTGAACTTCGCACTGGAGTGTGCATCAGATAATCCAGTAAGTGACACCATGAACATGGATCTACGCAATTTGGTTAGATGACATGCATCAACGAAGTCAGCATGATTGACAGTCCGATCCCGTTAATCGCCTCTTATGACCCACATAGGTTTCTGCAGATCCATTCCAACCCGGATCTTCACGAGAGTGTGTTTGTTTCTAGAGGCTACAGATGTATTCGTTGCTGTCGCCTAATGGAAAAAAATCAATTTCGGTTATAGAGAACATGACAAAACGTATAATCGGGTTAGCGGGCACTGATGGCCCAGTCATCTGAGGCCCGGAATTCGCTCTGCATATGTGTGCCTTGGTGTGCCAGAAACGTGGGTTCGAATCCGAATTTGCCACGATTATCTTTCTTTGTTCGTCAGCACTAAACCCGTGTAATGCGCCATGGCGACTAAGTTTAGATTATACAAACTAGTGACTGAAAATATAAGCAACTATACACGTCAACGGGGCCAAGTCAGAAGGCCTGACCAGACAAGGGGAGGTGTGGAGATATGGGGCTCAACTTCGCGTCATGTGTGTGTGCGTGCGTGCGTGCGTGCGTGCGTGCGTGCGTGCGTGCGAGATACCATGCCGCGGATAAACATGTATACCCTACTCAGACAGAAAGGTGCGGCAAGAACCATGACGCCTACACAATAAAGTGTGGAGTCTGTACCATCTTGCAAGCGAACGCTCTTACATGCCACTGCAAAGTCACTCCTCCCATGAGACAAGGACACCTCTATAGGGTCTCCCTCAGCGTAAGGACGGGTTTCATGTGGACATGGAGGATGAGGAAACGGTCCCTATCCAGGTGTGTTGGCTGTGCCTCAGGGATTTCGAATAACATCAACACCTGGTTTCTTGATATGCTACCCTCACAATCGAGAATAGTGTAGAGCATTATTGTAGCAGAGTGTTTGCAACGCTTATGTGTGCCAGGATCATGTGAGTATAGGTTCGAATCCCAGATGTCCCCGATGATGGTTATTGGGTTGTCCCCACTGCACTCATGCTCCTAGTTTTCACAATGGTGGTCAAACCTCTTAAGACCTGCATCACGTTGGACATTTGTCCCATATTAACGCACACACTGTGGTTTAATTGAAAAACACTTCATAGCAGTGAAAAACAAAATTCACTCACTTGACCCCATCCAGTAAGAAATGTCCAGGTGAAGGCTCAATAAACTCTCCACAGTGAGTGAGTTATGTTTATCACCGCATTGATCATTTTTCACGTTAATGTGGGAGTAAAGCTGAGAGTGTTTGTTTATTTGTAGTTTAACGACACGCTCCCTAATAGTACATCTATATAACAGCAGTCTGTAAAAAATCGAGTCTTGACCAGTGACTGACATCACGAGCACCGATCCATGCAACTGGAATACGATGACATGCATCAATCAAGTCAGCAAGCCTGACCGCCTGATCCCCTTAGTCGCCTCTCTTGCCTGGGATCTATTACCCTGGAGCCACACTGATTTAATTCAGTTACTAAGTTTCAAGTTGAGCAGTAACCATATGTCTAATGCAAGGCACCTACAACCTGGCCTCAGTTCTATGACAAAGAGATCTGACCAATGTAGGACAACATTTGATAAGGAAAGATAGTTCCAAAGCATGATAGTTGCAGTGAATTTTAATAATGAGTGACAACAATGTTATACACATATTACTATTGATTAGACTACTTCAAAGTTATTGTCAGTGCCAACTCTTTCTAAAGTGACATGAAATTTGCTTATCCGATAGTTTGAGCTTGTTAAAAATTCACAGTCTCAGAAAAATACATTTAATTTCTCTCTATTGCTTATGACATTGGATGCAGTGCTTTGAAAATGAATTCAGAACAAAATTGTTTTTTGATACCTTGAGGGAAAATTTGATCTCAATACAATTATGTATTTGTATGTCTTTAATGTATTTTCAAAGGCACAGAAATATACAAGTAACAAATCTTGTCGTACACGTATCAGAATAACACGATAACATCAACTTGTCCTGGATAAGGAGAATATGTTAAATATCATACAGAGCAGGATCAACAAGAGTCTGGACTAATAACCTTTTTACAGATGGGACCAACAAAGTTTCTCTGTACATATAAATCTATAACTAGATACCAAGGGCCATACCTCTGTATCCAGGACTTGTAAATCCAGGAATTGACTGAATGGTTTACGGATTAACGGAGTCTTGACTGACAAAATTTCTCTGTGGATGTAAATCTATCACTACATACCAAGGGCCATAACTCTGTATCAAGGACTCACGAATCCGTGAATGATATCACTTCCCTGTGTCCTCCATCAGTTAATGACAGTGACTGGTCTGTGGTTCTGTGAAAGTATGTAGATATGTATAAAGACCGATTGTATCTGTACAATGTTTCATGTTCAGTTGCATCGTGTAATCAACAAGTGCCTTGTTAACACAGCTTTGTGTGTCCGTCATATCACAGCATGTCAGGTGTCGTATATCACAGACTTGGATTGAACTGACCACCAGCGGTTACTGACAAAGGTGTGATCGATGCAATGCACTGAGCAACGTACTGTCCAGATCCTTATAACAGAGTATCTTACTTCAACACGGAAGTCCGTTGAAAGTTTGGACAGAATCAAATGGTTGAAAACGTAATAAAGTGCAACTTTGTGTATAATATTACTAAGCAAACAGTGTAAAATCAGAGGTACATTGACATGATCCCTCTCACTTACCACTCAAACATACCCTAAAACCATGGTAGACAGATACTATCATCACCTATTCCGAGAGATAAATAAAGAAAAGTGGTATTATAAGATTTGAATGTCTATAAAAGTATTAAATCTGACATCTGAATAAGTGCACTATCACAACCGTCTTCCCCCCATGACATTAGAGGATCAACCAGTCACGCTGATAGTTCATCATTCTCCTCCTCCTACAATCAATAGCTACAAGAACATTCGAAAGCTGTAGCATCAGGAAACACAGAGTTGTCTTATCATTTTCAACTTCTCCATTCTTTCAAAGCGACATTTCGGTACATAGGCTACTACTACCTCTCAAAATAATCTCATTGAAAGACTTAATAAAGTTGACTGTGTCCTCCTTCCGTCTCTGTATGACACCACCAGCAGGTGTGACGTTATTTCTTCCGCCCTTTGCTTCAGCCACGTAGTTGGAGACTTGCACATGCAGCTGATGTTTGGTTTCCCCGTAGACGGTGGAGGCAAATGTCTTAGCTGCATCCGACCCCCTCACCAGGGCTTTGTAGATGGGCAGTGTGTACTTTTGTTTGGCTGGAACAGTCAGAAGTGTCAATGAAAATATGCTTCTTTTACAATCAGAAACCTCCTTACAAAAAACTCCTCACATAAACTCTCTTCTGACATCGGGAACAATGGATGACGTCATCTTCAATTATTCATGACAGTGCATTAATATGATGTCACATTGTTTTATGGGCCTCTTTGCAAACAAAGATTATTTTTTTGGCATTCATGTTTCTATAAAGGGAAAAAAGAGACCATGCCCAAGACCATGCCCACAAACGGACGACTGTTTCTTGATTGGCTAATAATAGGATAGGAAGGGCTTGTGTTGCATTATTTAGCTGAACGATGTCATTGACATCGTATTGTTGCATACAGGTTTTGTGTGTTAATGATTTAATAAGCCGTCTGGGAAGTTGTTATTGTTTATGCATTAATATATAACATTTCAATCTGTTTTATTGCACTTTGGATGGTATAAAAACAGGTGTGTACACTTTGTGTACACTGAATACTGCATAAAGACTATATACCAACACTTTCCAAATGATCAAATGTCATTGTTTCTTTGAATGACATGTCAAGAGTTATATATGCTTCCCTTCCCTGGGGAATATACTTGGGGTAAGTGGGAAGTCGGTTGGGTGCCGTTTTTTTAAAAATGTGAAGCGCACCTATCTTGATGATTTATGCCCTCCTTACCTTGACTATGAAGGAAGTCCTTGATGTCTGTGAAGGCTGGCTAGTAGTCATTCTTGATGAAGATTTGAGCCCATCTCAAACAGATCTGAAACCGAGATGGCTGAATTATTTTATGGAACATATCACACCACTGTACCTTTGATAGGGATACTAGGGATATCTACACCGTGGCAGAAGCAAATGTCAGTAATAATTCAAAATCTGCACTTGAAAAATGTTAACAGATTTGATGACTAATGTTATGGCTTTGTGGAGGTGACTTGTATTTCACAGATAGCAGAGCCAATACGGAACAAGAGGCTTTAATGCTTAGTTTTACGTTATTGCTTTGAATGCTAAAATGTTAAATGTTCAAATACAAAGTTAAAATACATAGGAACGTATGAACATATGAATCCCAATCCCAAAATCCCAATTTGAACAAAATAAGATAATGTTATTCAGGAAACAACTCATCTGGGAGATTAGAATGCCATGAAATGATTCCTTAATGAGTCTGTTATAGTGCAAACAATTTCAATACTTATTTAACATTTCATTTATCTAAATACCTAACTGGTTCAATATGATTCCAAGTGCACCGAAATTCTATGCCCTTTGTGTGTTTAATATATTCAGCAAACATTTGGCGTATCCCCTCTTATCATAAGCGATTCACTGTGCAGAGTTGCGTCCCTTGGGCATGCCAGAAACCTAAGATTGTGGGTTCGAATCCTGGTTCACCACCATACCCATGCTAGTGGGTTTCACCGAAGTGGTAAACGTCTGAGACCTGCATCACTTCGGGCTTTCCTCCCACATTAAGCTGGCATAAAACCCAACTCGCACACACACACTTATCATAAGCCACTCCAGGCAGGACCCTTAATCTCCAGCGCTATCTATAAATTCCAATTAACACCTCCTTACGTCGCCGGATCTTACATATATACATACACGTGGGACAATGACCTTGCCACACGTTATGTAATACCTCACTCTAC